TGTGGTTCGTGAAGCACAGGGCCACTGTCAGAGAGCATATACACTGTGGGACACTGGAATGGCCTTTGCCTTCCTGGTCGCAAAGGACAGACGTTCTTCTGTGCAAGGGGCGGGGGGCTTGGTGGGCCAGTCAGTGGAGACGTGAAGATGTAGACACCATCTCTGATTCTTCCGCCCACAGCCCCACCCTGTCCCCGAATGGCCCATGCGTGAGTCTAAGTTGTAGCACTGATAGTTTTGGGATTTGTCTCCAGAATCAAGGTGGGTCCTGAAACACCTTAGCGAGTAGCAGTCCCTGCCATCCACACTGGTAGAAACCCAGCTCAGGCAGCCTGGCCCCGGTCACGGTCAGGGCCGAGACACTGCCGCTGCCGAAGGGAACTCGGCGTCAGGGTTCAGCCCACACTTGAGGCCGGTGCACCCTGGAGGCCAGGCTTGAAGAGCGTTTGAAGAGTGACATATGCCCTCATCCTTGGCTGGATCAAAAGAGACAAAATCAATGAAGCATTGTTTCCTTTGCCCCCAACCCAGTGGAAAGGTTTGGTTTCTTTCCACTGCCCTCACTCAGCACTGAGGTCTTCTGCCCCGCTTCCTTCAGGTTTGAGGCCTTGACTGTCGGAGATCAAGGTCCCACCTGGACGTGGGTGGGTGAGCGATCCCTTCAGATATCAGGTTAGTAACTTGTCACCTAGTGGACTAAGGCGGGGAAGATAGCGAGATGACACAGGAAAGTAGAAAGCAGTGAGATATATAGCTCTTTACAAATCCAGAGACTCAAGAAGCCCGGGACGTGTGCTGGAGGCGGGGGCCAGGTGCTGGGCATGTGTATTGGCCCTGCCCCTGCCTCCCTCGCTGTGTGCCCTTGGACCAGTGGTGCAGCCTCTCTGGTTCTCTGCCCCCTCAGCCTACTTGTAAGTTGTGCGTTTAAAAGTTGGTGAGGTGTGACAGGCTCATTCCTGGGGCCCATTGTCCCTTCCCTCTTGCCTCCCTGCCAGGTGTGTGGGAGGACCCCATAATGTGGGGTGGGGTGCAGTTGTGGGCGGAGGCTCTGCTAGATATGGCTGGGTCCCCAGCTGGAGCTTGGCCTGCCTCATGCCCTAGGGCCTCTGTGGCTGCCCGACTTAGGCCTTTCTTGCTGGGTGCCCACATTCCTGCCATGCTCAGAGCTGATCTCCATGCCCACTTTCAAAGGGCTTCCCGAGGTCAGCATTCCGGGCCTCTCAGGTCAGTGGGTCAGGCTGGAAGGCTGACCCTGCCCAGCCCAGACCATGGGGCCTGTTCCTTGTTCCTTTCATGGGCAATAGCCACTCCCCACTACCACTCTCCCACTTACCCCCTCCCCTCAGACTGCCCTCTGGTCTCTCAAGCCATGAGAATATGGGGACAGTGGGGGTGAGGTGGCCATAGCACCCAGCCTGAATGAGAGGAGGGTGATGCCCCGCCAGGCAGACCTGTGCTGGGAATCCCACCCTACAGACGTCCAGGCTTGTCACACCAGCAGGCGCAGGGACCCCAGTGGAGGGTAGGTGAGGAGTAAGGTCTGATCGTTCCCATAGGATCAGGGCCTAGTGGACAGCCTGACCCAGGGGCGTGACTTAAGAGGGTTGCCCCGACACCCACCACCCTCTTGACCCTCTCTCAGCTCAGTAGGGGCTCGTGAGTCCTGCCACTGTAGGGGCAGTAGGGACTTGCGCCATGGATTCCAGCCTGGGGCCCGGATGGCTGAAGTGTGCTTTTTCTCCATTCAGAAGGAGCTAGGATTGGCTCCGGATCACCTGGGGGCTGGGGGAGTCTTGTGCCCAGCCCTCCCCTGGGACCAGTCCTGCTCAGTGTGTCCTTCGCCCCCTCCCATGCCTGAACCCCTGGTTATTCTGGGAGCTTTTAGCTACCACTTAGTCAGCCACTAATGCGTCAGGCTGGGAGCGAGGGGGGAGTCACGGTGCCAGACGGTGCTCCTTTTAGACATCCAGGAGGGGAGGCGGAGGGGCTGGTCAGGCTGGGGGGTGGGAGGGTGGGGGAGTGGGGAGCTGGGGGATGCTGGCAGAGGCTTTCCTATCCTGGAAATGCGGGAGACTGACTGCTGGCTACCAAAGGGAGTCTCACACAAGGGAGACTGAGGCCCTGCCCGATGGAGACAGAGAGACTGACACACAGGGGCTTGGGCAGGGGCCGCTGCCCTCACCAGGTCACACGGGCCTCATGCCACCTCCCAATTCTTTTCTCATTAGACCTCTCTACCCACCATCCAGGCAGCTTCCCCACCTTTCTTGGGTGTTACCCTGCCTGGAATTCTCTTCCTGCCTGGCTCTTGACCCTTCTAGCTTTGATCTGCCTCCCCCACCCCTCTGAACTCCTAAGGAAGCAGAGACACCTTCAGGAATGCAGCTTGCTTCCTTGGCTGGGCTCTGGTGGGGGGGCTCAGCAGGGCCTTCAGGGCTCTTGCTGGCCCAGCTCTCTTGGTGCTGGTCAGGAGGGGCCACGGGTCCTGGCGGGGTAGCCTGTGCGCCTTCACTTCCAGGCAGCCCTCCTGCCCCTCTGCCCCCAGCCCCCTCGCTCCTGCGACCTGAACAAAGCTCTCTTTCATGTATTCATGGAACTGCTGCCGCTCAGACACTTCCCCGGCACAATTAGGCCCTTTGAGGGCCTGGGTGCGGGAGCCTTGCCGGGATGGGGTGGAGAATGGGCCAAGCTTGGTCCTGGGGCCGAGCTGGTGCCGTCCCCCCCATACACATCAGCAGGCTCCGGGAGGGACAGGAGCCTGAGGGTCACGGGAGGTAAAGCTCCTGGGCTCTTGTTTGTTCTTCTGCAAAATGGGATGAGCAGTCCCTGCCTCCCCCACACCCCAGCAGTTCTGGGCAGGGCTGTCCTGGCACTGCAGCACTCTCCGCTGCTTCCAGCATCCGGCAACCCTCGCTCTCCCTTTGTGTCCTCAGAGATATTTTGTGAGCAGCCCTGGGGTCTGCACCAAGACTGTTTAGCTTGGGTCTGGTGGAGGTTCGCTGCCTGTCCTCTGACTGGATTTCAGGTTCGGGCCAGGTCTCCCTGCTACACCTTGCTCTTCAGGGTCAGGCTCTTCCATGGGCTTGACTCCCCCGGCCATGACTGCATCACCTTCTCTCTTAGACAGCCCTACTGCCGCCAAAACCTCCTCTAGCTCTGGGCCAGAGCTGTGCATTGGCCCACTGCCGGCCAACCTGAGGCCTGGGGCTGTGGCCTCGGTGCTGGGCCAACTGGGGTGACTGGTGGAGGTGGCCTGAGGGTTGAGCCTCCTTCCCCTTTGGCTTTCTTGGGAAGTTGAAGGGCTCAGATCCCCCACTCAACATCTCTGGGCAAAGATTCACCTTTTCCTGGCCTCCAGGATGGCTGGGGGAGCAGGAGGGGGGCTGGGGGAGCAGGAGGGGAGCTGTAGCCGCAGACTGTCTGGATCCTGGCTCTTGGGCTGTGGCTGCTGCTCAGGTTGCAGGTGAAAGGGGGGGGAGCGGGGAGCTGAGTCAGGAAGGCTGTGTGCCAGCACAGCTGCTGACCCCAGCACTCTAGTTCTGCCCAGGCGAGAGCAAGGCGAGCAGGGGCCAGCACCCCACCAACCAGCCACCAGGGCTGGGCTCTTACACTGTCTGCGTGGCCCCGCTGGAACTAAAGGGACTTGAACCTTGGGGTGCTCGCATCTCCCGACATGCCTGAGAACTCTGCCCGCCTGTCTCCTAGTGTGACCTTGGCCCAGCCAACCCCAGGGACCTTGGAGGCTCCAGTCCCGAACATGAGCACAAGTAGGCGAGGAGGGAGTCTCTTGCTCCTGGGGAGGACACGGTGCCATGGGATGAATCTTTGAAGGAGAGGGAGTGAGGGTGTGGGTGGGAAGGCATCAGTGCTCCTTGCCCCTGTTGGAGGCAGGGTCCGTGGCAACGACGCAGGTGGCAGCCAGAGGCACTGGGGTAGAAATGGCAGTTCTTTCCTTGCCAACACAGTCAGGTCTCACTTGGATGTCACTGCCAGGCTGGCTAGTCCTGATGTTGCTGCACTGAATAAACAGGGGCGAAGGTTCCTGGGGGAGGCCCCAGGCAGCTCAGCGGTGGGAAGAGGCTAGCTTGCCTGATCGCTGCGGCCGATTACAGGCCGTCCTGTCCCTGTAATTTAGTCCTGTGACCAGGATGGCCTCAGCAATGTCACTGTAGATGAGACATCTCCCTGGAGGCAGTGGCTATAGATAGTTTCCTTTTTGGGCAAAATTGCCCTGGCCAGCTCTCTACTTATCGGCCCACACTGTGCGCTCTGTAAAGGCCCTGGGCCAGACTTGCTGTGGTAGGAGGGCTGAGCTTTACCCTCGAGATGAGCTGGCATCTCCGTGGAACCAGGCCAATGCAGGTCATGCAGAGCTCAGCTGGCGCCCTGCTTCAGGGCCTGCTACAGGCCATGTGATCTTGAGCTGCTGCTGCTTAGACCTGTTTTCCCATCTGTGAAATGGGGCGGATTGGACATTGTTGGTGCCTTTCTGGCTCCGATGTAAGTTGATGTGTTTACTAGGGGCTGGAGTGGCTGGGAGGTGTTGGAGAGGGCTTCCTGACGGAGCGGATGGGGCTCTGAGTAAGTAGATTCCTGGGAGCCTGGACTCTAAGTGGGGCTTTTAGAAGCCCTGCTACTTCAGGAAGTGGAGACGGCTACCTGCTCTGTGCTCGAAGAGCCAGTCTGTCCCCTGCCGGCGTCCAGCCCCTCGGGACTGCAGACTGTGGCGTGTATGTGTGTATGTGTGGGCATGGTCTCTTCTGCCCGGGGCTTCCTAAACCCTGGCTCCACCCTGAGGGCACACCGCTTGTAGGGGAGAGAGTCATGGCTCTCAGGTGAGGATAGCTCACAGCTGGACCCAGTCAGGGGCCTCCTTTTTTCTACCCGCCTATGACTCTGCATCCTGCCCAGGCCTGACCTGTCAGGTAGGAGCAGGAAAGACCCAGGCTCTCCAGCTCAGGACCCAGACTTAATGTTTCTGCCAACTGTCTCCTCCTCAGGCCGAGCAGGACAGGACCGGGTTGACTATGGCCTGGCTGAGCCGCACACAGTGCTCTTCCACGAACCGGGCAGCTCCACTGTGTGGGTGGGTGGACGTAGCAAGCTCTACCTCTTCGACTTTCCTGAGGGCAAGAATGCCTCTGTGCGCACGGTGAGCCTGGGCCCCTGTGCTGGGCCTCGCAGACACAGCAGAACCCCCTCCCCACTCCTTCCCCGTCATCCCTCTGCCTCCTCCCCTCCGGCCTTCAGAGGAGGGAGCTGGCTTCTTTTTAAACTGGTCCCCCTGCCCATCATACCCCATGAATGGCTCCCCCAGGGTCCCCCCCTGTGGGTAGTGCAGATTGGCATGGGTGTTGGATGGTGCATATGTGCCTGGCAAGGGAAGCCAGGCAGGAAACCAATCGAGGACCCCGGCTCCTATCTCACACATCTCTGGGCTGTGATATTTGGTCTTTGGCTTTGTTTCCTGCCAAGCAGCCTGTGCCACCTTGGGTGATTCACTCACCCTCATTGTTTACCTGGAAGATGTGTTGGTCCGGAGGAGGCATGGAGAATACCTGGGGCATCTCACTTCTGGCACAGTGGGCTAATGCTTCTCCCCTTCCCCCAGGTGAATGTTGGCTCCACCAAAGAATCCTGCCCGGACAAGCAGGTGAGTGGGGGAGAGGGAGTGAGTAGGAAGCCTGAGCCCCTTGGGATGGGGGCAGTAGACCCCAAGAGTCTGAGGGAGGAGGTGTGGGTCCACCTTGGGAGCCCCTGTCTGCGGGCAAGTTGTGGCCCTGCTCGGCCTTGTCCTGTGTGCTAGGGGGAGGAGTCAGCACGCGAGGTGCCTCCTGTGCCAAGATGAGGGTCTTCATGCCAGATCTGCCAGGTCGCTCACCTACCTCTCTCCTGGGCAGGACTGTGAGAACTACATCACGCTCCTGGAGAGGCAGGAGGAGGGGCTGCTGGTCTGCGGGACCAATGCCCGGAGCCCCAGCTGCTGGAAACTGGTGAGGAGACCCCTGCTTGTGTGCCTGATCCACTTCCTCGTGTCTGGGTGGGCTTTTGCCAGCGTCCCTGGGGGGTTGTGATTGTGGCTGGGAAGCTGGCCCCCCGGGAGGCCATTCTGAACCCCAGTCTCCTCCAGGTGAATGGCACCCTGGAGTCACTTGGTGAGAAGAAAGGCTATGCCCCCTTCAGCCCGGATGAGAACTCCCTGGTTCTCTTTGATGGTAGGCCTGCAGCTGGAGCAGGGGGGTGGCTGTCCGGGGCTGGGGAAGGAGGGGAGCTCTGTGTCGGTCCCGATTCCAGACCAGACAGGGACTTTCAGGGGCTGTGTGTCCTCACCTGCGCCCTTCCCTTGCATCCAGGGGAGGAGGTGTATTCCACAATCCGGAAGCATGAATACAATGGGAAGATCCCCCGCTTCCGCCGCATCCAGGGAGAGATTGAACTGTACACCAGTGACACTGTCATGCAGAGTGAGTCAGGATGGGCTGGGGAGCAGGGCGGGGCTGGGGTGTGATGTCCATGCAGCAGATGGGATCCTCACCTTTCCTGGGAGGGCTCCCTGAGGGCTGCTGGGACTGGAGCTCAGGACAGGCTTGAGCAGCCAGAGGCGGGGAGGCTGGCCTAGTCGGGAACAGCGAGTCAAAGGTGCAGAGAGAGGCAGCATGGATCTAACTCACTCTGGGAACCAAGCAGAAGGAGCCCCAGGGTCCCTCCCAGGTGGGGTCCCTGGGAGTCAGACCATAACCCTCTGCTGAGCTCATGTGGGGGCAACACCCCTCCCTTCTCATTAAGACTCTGCCAATTAGGCAGCAATGACATCGGGGTCCCCAGGGGCTTCCCCCCAGTCCCCAAACATGAAGTCATTGCTCTTGGGTGGATGACATCTTTGAAGGAGGAGGGCAAAACAGGGATGGGGTGGGGAATGTCTGGGCCCCTTAGAGTTTTGGAACCGGTGTTCTGGGTTCGATTCCGGGTCTGAGTTGCCTGGGTCTGATTTTGATCTGACTTTGTGGAGACTTAGAATGTGCAGGATGGGGATGTGTCCTCCGAGCAGGCCTCCCCACCTCACACTCATTTGCCACTCTCCCCTGCAGACCCTCAGTTCATCAAGGCCACCATTGTGCACCAAGACCAATCCTACGATGACAAGATCTACTACTTCTTCCGGGAGGACAACCCTGACAAGAATCCCGAGGCCCCTCTCAATGTGTCACGAGTGGCCCAGCTGTGCAGGGTGAGCTGAGAGGGAGAGAGTGGCCTGAGGGTGTGGGTGGCCGTGTGCACCCACACAGGTGTGAGTGCGTGTGTGTGAGAAGTGTGCCGGAGCCCGTGTGTGTTGTAGGAGTAAATGCGTGTGCATCTGAGTGGGTGAAGATGCTTGGGTGTGTGTGCATGTATGACAGTGTGTAAGTGTGTGTTCTTGTGAGGGTTTGTATAAGTGTGTGCTTACAGTGGGTGTCATCTGTGTGCAGGACCATCCATGCATGTGTTTGTGTTGTGTGTGTGCATCTGTGCTTGTGTGTGTAAGAGGGAGCCAATGTGCATCTGAGCCTGTTTGCATTGTGGGGACCCAGCACCCGCACCCTGAATGTCTGCCTCACTCACGGACCGTGTGTCCAGCAGGAACCTCTTTCCAGAACCTGGCCTGAGGTGTGGCTGAGCCTCTCTTCCTCCCCGGAAGTCTGGGTGCTGGCACTCCTGGCAGCTGGGCGGGTGCAGCAGAGGCCTTGGCAGGGACAGCTGGGCAGGTGCTGAGAGGCTTCTTTCCCCTCCACCTCCAGGGAGACCAGGGTGGCGAGAGCTCGCTGTCGGTCTCCAAGTGGAACACCTTTCTGAAAGCCATGCTGGTGTGCAGTGATGCCACCACCAACAAGAACTTCAACAGGCTGCAGGACGTCTTTCTGCTCCCCAACCCCAATGGCCAGTGGAGGGACACCAGGGTCTATGGTGTTTTTTCCAACCCCTGGTGAGTGCCTCTCATCCTGGGGCCAGGAGCCTTGAGGGTGCATGTATGTGTGCCTCCAGGAGGCTTGAGGGTATGGGCCTCCTGAGAGGATTGCAGTGTGGCACGCGCAGGGTTTCCAGGCTCAACGACGGAGCTACTGCTGGTGCAGGGGTGAGGCCGGCGCTCTGGGAGAGGTGTGTGCTGCGTGTTTGCGAGGTGTGTGCTCACAAGAGTGTGAGTGAGGGTGTCGCAGGCACCCTCGTGGCTGCACGTGCCTGTGTGTCTGCCAGCTGTGTACTCAGTAGGCTCTGGGCTCTGGACAAAGGCCACCAGACCTCTTGGGGCGCTGGGCGCTGGGTGCTATCACACCCAGCTGTGGCACTGCCTGTGCCTGATAATTCACACCTCTTAATCACTCTCATTGATTGAAAACAAGGCAGGCAAAAGTGTTGGGTGTGTGGGTGGAAGGGTGAAAGCGAAGACCCTGCTCTGTGCCTCCCATGGGTGGGCCTGGCCGGACTAGGAAGGAGACAGGTGTCTGGCTTCGTCCTTCCCTGCCTCCCTCCTTCAGTGGTGTTTGGTAACAATGCTTTAGGCTCTAGGGGTGCCCCAGCACAGGTCTGAACTCCCAGGCCAGAGAGCTCAGTTGGAAGGCTGGGGCTGGGCTGTCTGGGGCTGGGCTGGCCTGGGTGAGTAGACGCGTGGGTCCTGGCCCTCCACTGAGGGGCCTGTGTCCCTGCAGGAACTACTCAGCCGTCTGCGTGTACTCCCTCGGTGACATCGACCAGGTCTTCCGCACCTCCTCCCTCAAGGGCTACCACTCGAGCCTTCCCAACCCGCGGCCTGGTCAGGTGAGCAAAGATGGCCCAGCCATCCCCAGCCCACCTCCCCCCGTCACTGACCCAGACTTGCTCTCCTTGTCCAGTGCCTCCCAAACCGGCAGCCAATACCCACAGAGACCTTCCAGGTGGCCGACAGTCACCCAGAGGTGGCCCAAAGGGTGGAGCCCTTGGGGCCTCTGAAGACACCACTGTTCCACTCCAAATACCATTACCAGAAAGTGGTTGTCCATCGCATGCAAGCCAGCAATGGGGAGACCTTCCGTGTGCTCTACCTAACCACAGGTAAGGGGCTACCCTGAGACCCCTGCTTTACTTTGTAACAATGGCTTTGAAAACTGTGAAGAGTCAGGTGATTAAATGTGGTTGGATCTTTATACCTAGAAGGAAGAATTGAGTGACTAAGAGTTGTCAGGCTGGAAGGGCTTCCTGGAGGAGGTGGCAACAGAGGGAAGCAGGGAAGGCATCTGAGGATGGGAGGAGAGCAGGCAGCAGGATTCGGAGGCAGAAATGGAGCAAGGTTGAGCAATGTGTGGGGTGTTAATGTTGACTTGTAAAGGGGTGGAAAGAGATGTGGATAGTTGGAAGGAAAACCTGACTGACCCCTGACATGCTATGGCCTCTGACAGATGGAATGAGGAAATCGGGCCTCTCCCTGTCTTTGGAATTATGCAAGTGAGACAGAAAATGCTCATATTTGGAATGCAGACTATTAGATGTGAGGAGAATCTGCACTCTTTCAGGGGTCTGCAGTAACATGACCCCTCTCTGGACCTGGATAAGGATTGCCAGCAGGAAGGGGTCTTGTGACTCTGAAAATTGTGTGAACTGCTCCTGAAGATGTCCCTGCATTTTTGGGAAGCCTCTGGCCATGGAAGGGTCAGCCCTGGGCTGCGTTTATGGTTGCTTCCTGGTCCAGGCTGTGAATGAAGGGGGCTCCTGGGAATGGGCCTGGTGATCAATGTTGGGAGGCTGTTGAGACTAGGTGGTGACCCCATCGTAAAGTGCAGTGTTGCACCCAGGGGTCTAGCACCTCTGGGCCCATGCACTGCAGACCCAGACACCCTTTCTCAATGGTTCTTGGCTCCTAGTGATTTCCTGCTTCACTACGGGCTTTCTTAACCATGATGCTTCATCAGTTGTTGGGTTCTTAGAGGCTGCTAGGAGAGGGCAGGCCTCAGTTTTAGGATGCTAAAACCCTGCTTTTCACCTCTTTCATTTGTCTGGCTGCAACCATGGCCCTCAGTCTTTGCTAACAGATGCTTTCCCAGTCAGCTGGGGGCTGGCAGGGCATTGGGGTGATGGAGAGGAGTGGTCACACCATGGATACTGGCAGCAGGAGGACAGGGAGGCTGCCCCTTCCTGCAGGCCTGGGAGCAGTGTTCTGGGCTCTGGGTTGTCTCTCAATCTCCTGAGGGCCATTTTGGAAAGAGACCATTTGGAATCTGCAGCAGGAAGGGTTGGGCCAGATGAAAAACAGAACTTTCTGGGCTTTAGTGGAGAACAGAGGCTCTCGGAGCTGGGAGAAGTTGTGGAGGCTGCTTCTTGGGCCATTTCTAGGAGGCGAAGAGCAGAGAGTGTGTGTGTTGGGGGCAGAGCCAGTGACTGGGCTGAGGGCCCATCAGGCCAAGGACATCTGGTTACATCTCAGGGCTTGTAGAGAAGGGTCGCAGACATGCGGAGGGAATGTCCTAGGCAAGTTATTGTCCCATTATCTGACTGTTTGTGGTGTTCTGTGGTACAAAAGAAACATGGACACCCGGGCCAACAAGAAGCAGGCTTAATGCGCCAGTGCTGAGTCAGCAGAGTCATATCCCAAGGCTGAGGCTTATATATTATATACACTTTCGATCTCTGCAAGGTTCCGGGTAGGTTTTCACTGGCGTTGTCCATGTCAGATATGATGTGGCTACATACTAAGAAATGAGTTGTATAGTTGCATACCAAGGGTGAATAAAGGGTCTGTAGTTACGGGGCCCCCCAGTCCCATCCCGCCTCAGTGTGGTACATGGTCTAACATGAAGCAAGAGTCATCTCAGAAACTAAGTTTCATGCCAGGAACTGAGCAAAAGGTTTTTTACTAACATCCCCAGGCTGCTTGTGTCAGGTCACCTTGTTTCATTGGGAGCACTTGCCTGAGGAGACTGAGAGCGGGAGGGATGGGCTCTTCTAGAAACTGGGACAGCAAGTGAAGTGGGATTGGGAGGACCTAGCAGTCAGCATGCCCACTCGTCCCCAACATGTTCTCCATGTGAAAGGAGAGAGGAGAGCGCACTGGCTTGCAGGCAGGCAGCCTGGCTGGGTGACCTTGGGAATCCTTGTGTGGAATCTGAGGTCCTTAAATCTAAGGTTTTATAAAAAGTTTTGAAAGCCCCTAAAACTAAATGAATTGTGGAGTCCTGGATGGGGTCCTGGAACAAAGGCCACTAGTGGAAAAACCCATGCAGTCTGAATAAAGTCTGCAGTTAATAGTGATGTACCAGTGTCAATTGCTGAGCTGTGACAAATATACCACAGTTATGTAAGATGGTAGCATTAGGGGAAATTGGGTGAAGGGTATATGGGAACTCTCTGTACTATCTTTGCAACTTTTCTGGAAATGTGAAATTATCCCAAAAGAGAAAGTTTATTTAAAGAAAGCATATCCCCAGAGTCCAGGAGACCAAGGGATCACAGAAGAGGTGGAGGAGGGGTCGGGTTCTGAAGGCTCTGGGCCCGGTTACCAGCTGTGTGACCTTGAGCAAGTGGCCTAGCCTTTCTGAGTCTCTTGTCCTTATCTACAAAGTGGGAGAGACACTCCGCATCTCCCAGGGGGCAGTGTTATGCCCAGGTGCATGGACTGCTGCTTCTGTTCTTCACACCCCCGCTCCCAGCGCAGCCTTGGGGACCCTTGGGCTTTCCCCACCCACCTTCAGCTCTTCTTGCCCAACCCCAGCCCAGTCCTCCTGTGACCCTTGCCAGTCCTTCCCAACCCTCCCCAGCTCACATCTTTCTTGGTCAGCCTGTTGGGGGGCTCCCTGGCTCCAAGGTGGGGCTTCTGCCTGGTGACCCTGTGCCTACTGCCCTCAGACAGGGGCACCATCCACAAGGTGGTGGAGTCAGGGGAGGGAGAACGCAGCCTCGTCTTCAACATCATGGAGATCCAGCCGTTCCGCCGCGCGGCCGCCATCCAGGCCATATCGCTGGACGCTGACCGGGTGAGCCCCCAACCCCACACCTCTGCCTGGTGGGGCTTCTTGGTGATGGCCAGCTGAGGGCGGAGCTTCTTTGTGTGGGACCTGAATGTCCTTTTACGATTCGCTAGTCCTCCTGAGCCTAGGTTCGTAGGCTCAGTGTTGGGAGGGGTCCTGGCCTGACTGAGTCCTGCTGTCCTTCCAGCGGAAGCTATACGTGAGCTCCCAGTGGGAAGTGAGCCAGGTGCCTCTGGACTTGTGTGAGGTCTATGGTGGGGGCTGCCATGGCTGCCTCATGGCCCGAGACCCCTACTGTGGCTGGGACCAGGGCCATTGTGTCTCCATCTACAGCTCCCAAGGGTATGTTGGCTGGGTTCCCTGATCCCTGGGGTGGGGGGTGGGGGGTAAACCGGTGGGCCCAGGAGTGGGGGGCTACATTATTGGGCTGTGGGAGGCATTGGGTCACTCTGCCAGCCACTCCCCTAGGTGGTTACTGCAGCTGCTTTGGGGGTGAGATTAGGGGAGGGGTCAGAGCTGTGGCCATCTCTCTGCTTAACCTCTCTCCTCCTTCTAGCTCCAAGTCAGTGCTGCAGTCCATTAATCCAGCAGAGCCACACAAAGAGTGCCCCAATGCAAAGCCAGGTACCTGAGCTGGTCCTGCCTGGGGTCCCTGTCCAGAGTGGGGTGCAGCTGGACCCTGATTACCCTGACTGAGAGATGCGTGACCTATCCTTTGCGTGTGGGGCCTGGGGTGAAGGAAGTGGGAGAACAAGGAGGAAATAGGACCAGTTCCCTGCTGCTCATTTGGAAGACCAGAGGCCCTCACTGGGGGAGGACACGGCTTGCCCAAGAGCCCCTGCCCTGCTCACCATAGCCACTTGCTCCCTCTCTAGACGCGGCACCCCTGCAGAAGGTTTCCCTGGCCAGGAACTCCCGCTACTACCTGAGCTGCCCCATGGAGTCCCGCCATGCCACCTACTCATGGCGTCATGAGGAGAATGTGGAACAGAGCTGTGAGCCTGGCCACCAGAGCCCCAACTGCATTCTGTTCATCGAGAACCTCACGGCTCGGCAGTACGGCCACTACCGGTGTGAGGCTCAGGAAGGCTCCTACCTCCGAGAGGCCCAGCACTGGGAGTTGCTGCCTGAGGACAGCGCCCTGGCCGAGCACCTGCTGGGCCATGCCTGTACCCTGGCCACCTCTCCCTGGCTGGGTGTTCTGTCCACGCTTGTGCTCAGCTTGCTGGTCCACTAGGGCCTCCAGGGTGTGGCCTGCCACAGGGGCACAAGAATAGTCTCACAGTCAGCGCCTGCCACGCCACGAACTCCTTGCCCACCACTTCTCCCAGGGGGACTGCGGAACGTGACGGGGGACACCAGGCTGAGAGCTGGCCAGCCGCGGGCGGCTGCTGGGCCCCACGGGGTGGGGGCAGTGGGGATCAGAGGATGAAGGCCCTGTCTGTGAAGCTGGGGCATTCATGACCCAAGACTTTATCTTTGGAGACTATTTTTCAGAAATTCCTCAAACTTGACAAAGTGAGTGATGCTCTCAGCTCAAGAGCCCATGGGCCAGAGAGTGGGGTTTGGAAAAGGGAGCTGGGACCCCCATCTCTGGACCTGGGGACCGGGCCCTGAGTCCTCTGGACTCTGTGCCCAAATTGCCCCTCAGCCTCCCACCTGCCAGGACGGGGGTGGCTGGTGCTCCTGAGGTCCCGGGCTGCCCTCTGCAGCCGCTCACCAGCACTGGCCCCGCTAGGCAGCCGCCTTGCATGTTTATTGAAGGATGTTTGCTTTCCGGACAGGACGGAAAAAGCTCTATTTTTATGTTAGGCTTATTTCATGTATAGCTACTTCCGACTGCATCTGTATGAAAATACCAAAACTACATGCTGGGGTGGGGTGGGAGAGGGAGGGGCTGGGGAAGGGATAGGGTGTGGGGGTTCCCAGTCTGAGGCTCCCAGGGATGGGATAAGAGTCCAGGGACAGATATGGGTTTGAGGAGAGTGGCATGAGCTGGCTCTGCCCAGGGAGCCCAGTCTGAGGGGGTGGGGGGGGGACCGATCTGGGAGGGGGTGGGATGAAGGGGTCAGGGGAAAATGAAAGAGGAAACTGAGCCCTAGGTTCACCACATTCATTTTGAAGGAGGAGCCGGGTCCTCAGGGGGAGGTTCCAGGACTCTGCCCTTGGCATTGGGGGTTGGGGGGCGGGGGGGGCTCCTCCCCTCCCCTCAGCCCCCTTCCCCAGGGGCTGTGCTTCCATGCTCCTAGCCTCCCACCTTCAGCTCAGGACATGTTATAACTTAGGCTAAACTGTGAATTCCGGTGGGGACAGCCTGGGCCACACACCCCATGTGGTGGCTCTGCCCCCAGCCTGCCCAAGGATTTCAACAGAGAGCTGGGCCCTTCTTTGGCCGAGTCTGGCCAACAGGGTCTGGGGCCGATGACCTTCCAGCTTTGGCCTCTGCATCTCTTCTCAATGCACTTTAATAATGTAACATTATTACTAATAAACAAGCTATTTATTTATCTGTGCCTGTTCCTTGTCTGCAAAGCTGTTCTGGTCTGGGAGTGAAGGTGGAGGCTCCCATATGTGACTATAACTTGATGCCTGTGTGAGCATCACACACACTCTTGCCGTCCCTCTCCTGAGAGCCCAGGACATGCTCACCCCACTGCCAGCTAGTGAGAGGCAGGCAGCACAGGGTGTGAACCCCTAGCTCTTGGACATCGTCCTGCCTGCCAAACTATGACTCCGGGACTCAGACAGCGCGTTTCCTCACATCTCAGAGTCGGCCGATCCCCTCCCCAGCCTCACCTTTTGCCATGTCCTCTGGGAGACCTTGCGCAGCTGTGCTAGAAATGACCTTGGGGAGGAAGAGCTGATCAAATAAGACCCTGTGGGATAAACGTGCAATGATAGATGTGTGTGGAAGGGAAGGGGGCGGGCGAAGGTGCAGGGCAAGCTCAGAAGGTGATGCCTGAGGGGGACCCACTGAGCAGGGCATGAGTAAGGGAGTTGGAGGGACTCAGAGAGCTCTGGGTTGGGGGCAGCCCTAGGACCTCATCCCTTTCAGGATCCAGAGCCTTCTCTGAGCTGTATTTCCCTTGGGTGCTCAGAGGGGGCTGCTGTGGAACCCCTTCTTCTGCCTTCTTCTGGGTTCTAAGACCAATTTACCTGTCTTGGCAGGAGTTCAGTCTGGTCTTGTCCACATCTGTCTGTTTTCCCAGTCACACCAAGAGGCAGCAGCCTTGTGCTTCTCAGGCTGCAACTCAGTGACGGGGGGAGTGGGTTCCAGTGGGATGTGAGCCCACTGGAGAAAGTGGATTGTGGGCCACCTAGGCGAGCCCCCTGACCTCTCTGGACCTTGGCAGTTTCCCTCTGCTGTGAGGATGCGCTTGGTGCCCTGATGGGCCTTGGGACTGAGGGACTTGAGAGACAAAACAGACTCCTTTGTCTCTACGGAGGCCCCAGGAGAGGCCAGGCAGGCGTGAAGCCGTGTGCAGTGAGGCATGAAATGAGCCCATGTAAATCCCATGTAAATGAGCTGGCAGGGAGGGAGCAATCGGGCACATCTCCTGCCCCGTTTTCCTCTGATGGGCAAGTGACATGGCAATGAGTGCACCATCTTGTGAGGCTGGGCTCTGTGAGCACTGAGATATCATGGTGCCAGTGTGGGCTTCCTGGCTGCCAGGCTGGAGACAGGAGCCTGGCCCGTCTTCTGCCCTCTGTCCTGGGCATCTCCTGCACAGGGAGAAGAAGGTGGGAGAGGAGGGGCAAAACGGGAGCAGGGCTGAAAGACCAAAGCTTAGCTCCAGATGTCTCCCTCCCTCCCCTTCATAAATCTAAACGATCCCTAAGGTTTCCCTGGGTGGGTCTATCCCTGCTGTCTTGACACCCTTTGGGAGAAAAAGAAGGACCTCGTGTGTGTGTGTGTGTGTGTGTGTGTGTGTGTGTGAAACCCTTTAACAGCTCCCTCCACCTGTACCCAGGTCCATCCTGATGTCCTGACCCAGAATTCAGGGCCTTCCAGCCCCTGTCTTCTCTCTGCTCAGCAACTCCCAGTCCTCCCCGACCATTGCTAGAAACACTTTGTGTCTTTGCTTTTGTAAGTGTCCCCGCCAGAGTGCAAGGAGGAAGATCCCAGGCAGAGGTCCCAGAATGACCTTGGCCTTTCAGAGTTCTATGTACATGTGTGAGCATGCACACACGCACACCTGTTGCACACACACGTACACACATGCAGCGTGCCTCTGTCTGCTGAGTCTTCAGCAGATGAAGCCTTGGGGGTGCACCTGGAATCAGGCCTGGACTCCATGGACACACACAGCCTGGGAGGGGAGGCACATGTGCAGCTGGGTGGTTACCATGCGTGTGATTATTCCCAGGTGGGAGGGCATCCATCTATTTGGGAGGGGCAAAGAAAGCTTTGGTATGCCTTGGGTCCCCAGGTAGAGTCAGGGGAAAATGGAAGAGGGGACTGGGCATGTGAGGGCCTGACTACAGTTGTGTGAGAGACAGGAAGGCACAGAGGAGCTTGTCCATTTTGCTCACAGCTGTGTCTCTAGCCCTTAAAACAATGCCTGCTACGCTGTCATGTCTAGAAAATGAAAGAGACAGAAGGGAAAGTATCTAACAGAGGAGCTGAGGCTTTGTAGAACGGGGTACTGTACCTGAGGCCCCGATCTTCACCCTGCAGATTCCAGGAAGCCATTGAGGATTTGAACAGCTGGAGGGGGCCTTATGATGGGGAACCTGAGATCCAGTTTTTCTCACCCCTCATCCCTGCCTGCCTCATTGCAAGCTCTCATTCATTCCTCAAATACTTTTTAAAAAGTTTTTTAAAAAACATATTTATTTATTTATGTATTTGTTTGCTTATATCATTGTTCATTTTTTATACAATATTTGCTCTCTTTTCTCAGGTGTGTTGCCCATGGAATTCCCACCACTATCTCCATAGTCTGTGTTCTTCTTGCCCTCATTCTGATCCATTCACCCCCAACCCCACCACGGAATGTTTCTGGCATATGGTTGTCTGTTAATTTTGTTTTGTTTTTTACTGTTATTATTTACTGTTATTATATTTCTCATGTAATTTTTGAGCACTACTATGTGCCAGACACTATGCTAGGTACTATGAGCAAAAACGACAAAACTCCCCTCCCTCACAGAGAGGTCAATCCAAGAGAAATAATGATGTCCACAGGTAACTTAAAACATTTTTTGGGGTGACCACTTAAATAGAAGTTACAAGAAACAGGTAGGTTCCCAGCATTTCCAGCTGCCTCCATGGCCCAATTTTAGCCTCCCCTTGTCTGGAAAAACAAGTGCAAGTTCCAAGATCCCAGCCAGGGCTGTGGTCCAGAGGTCTGCAATCATGGCTTGGTGGATTGAGGCTGAAATAGCCAACTTAGACTTACAAAACATGTTCATGTTGGTGTTGGTTAACTGTAGGAGGAAGAGACCTTGGGAAAAAACAAAAACAAAACCCACATCCTCAGGTCATCAGTGGATTTATAAAATGTGGCCACCCGACTTTGTCTAGCCAGCAGGCCTGCCCCTTCTGCGGCAGACATCACTAATCAGTCGATGCATTCCTGAACTGGCCTGAGTTCGGATGGGTGATTTTCTCTAGAACTGCATTCTCCAAAGGTTCTGAGCACTTGCGAGTGGCTCGCCTGAGTGGAGATGGGCTGGAAAGACAAAGAACATACTGGATTTGGAAGATGTAATATGCAAACCAAGAGAATTTGTCTTATTAATAGATTGTTACATTGAGGATACATGGAAATAAAAATATCTGGGATATAATAGGTTTAGTAAAATATACAAAAGTTAATTCCACCTGTTTCTTGTAATTCTGTTGAATGTCGTTACAAAAAAATTAAAAATTATCGGTGGCTCACATGATATTTTTCTTGGATAGCACCTCTCTGTGAGGGAGAGGAGTTTTGTCTTTTTGTTCATAGCACTTAGTATGGTGCCTGGCACATCGTAGGTGCTCAAAAATGACTTGAGGAATGAATGAATGTCTGGGGGAACTGGGATGCTTCCAGTTCACTTTCTGGTCCCAGCTCCTGGTCTCCATGGATAAAGGTGGGAGCTCCAGAGACCTTGACTCTAGAGGTAACGGGGCCTCCTCAATCTTTCTCCAGTGGGCAAGGGCTGTAGCCCCGAGAATCCTTGTCTCTGCAACTCAGGAGAAGCCTAAAAATAGTCTGCAGGTTCAGCCTCCTGCACAGTCACCCGAGCCAAGCCAGGGCCTGCGTCTGCCAACCCTGCAGCCCAGACAGTCTGAGTGGCCTGCTCCAGCTAGCCACACCCTTCTTCTCTACCCCCATCCCAACTTGGCCCCTGGGGACCTGAGCTCAGTGCTCTCTGCTGTAAGGTCTGTGAAGGAGCTGCCTACTGCTCTGCCCTCTAAAGCAGACTGGCCCTGACCCCTAGGCTTCCAAACACCATGCTTTGTCCAGTCGCCCATGAACAGGATGTGGGGATGAGAGCCAGACACAGAGGTGAGGGCGTGGGGCTGTTCTAGGCAGTGGGGACAGCACATTCAAAACCAGTGGCACGAGACATAAATTGTGGAACAGGATGAGCTGATTAGAAGGACCGAGGGCACGAGATGGGGCTGCGTGCCAGGCTTGGGCAAGGAGGCAGCAGGGTGGGTCTGCTGCCCCCCCCCCCAGGCATGAGTCCTCTAGGTGTCTGTCCTGCTCCATGGGGAGCCCCTGGCCTTGCCATTCTGCCCAGAGCTTATGTAGCGCCAAGGGGCACTCTCAGTCAGTTTGGGTCTTTTGCATCTCTGATTTGGGGGAGCTCTTGTGCCTCCCAGGTCTGAGCTCCTGAGATTCCTGCCTGCACCCCCCAGAGAGAAGAGAGAAGCAGTTTTCCAGGGAACCCAGGACAGCCTGTCTTAGCTGTGACCAGAACTTGCTATCCTGCTGCCCAGTGGGGAGCCAGCCCTCATCCTGTGATTTGGAGATCACTGTTGGGGTCACATCTGGTCTGACTGTAAGATGCGTTTCAGAGGCCCACTTTGGAGAGGGCTGAATGGTTCCGCTGGCCCATGACGTTAGCCCCAATTTGTGAGCTCTGACCTCACTGCAGGAAGTAGGGGTAGCAAAACAAATACTTTCCTTTTCTGGGGCCTGGCTTTTGGGGAAATAGTTCATGAGTGTTTTTCCGCCACCAGTGTGGGTAACACTACTGTCTAAGCCCCTCTCAGCCCGGCTTTCCTGGTAGCCTCACCTAAGTCCTTGGAGGCAGAGTGTCCGCCTCGGCATTGCTTCCCCTGAGGAGACTGAAGGGGGGTGAAGACAAGGAGTGGGAATTTATTGCCCAGAGCCATATGGCCCATCAGAGTCTGGCCTAGAACCCAGAACACTTGCTTCTACCCACTCACAGCGCCCACCCCCAAGGAAGCAGGGGTGGGTGTGAGGTAGAGGCTTCTTGGCCAAGTAAAGGTGTTGTGAGATATTTAGAATCTTTGAGGTTTTCTCACTCTTAGCACCCCCCTCGTTTT